GGAGGCAGAAACACTGCCCAGCTGAGCAGCCGCCGCCGCCGCCGCCGCCGCCACCACCACCACCACCACCACCTTGGAGGTAAGGGCTAGAGCTTGTGGGGATGGTTTGGAGGCTCCTGGTCCTGGGCATGATCTAAAACTGCACCCTGCTGGGGAAGGGTAGTCTGGTGGGGCTCCTAGTGGTGCAGGAGTCCCCAAGAAATGCTAGGTCAGTTACCTCTCTGGTGAAAGGTGAGGAGAGGTGCCTTAACTCTAGCTCCCATCTTTGGGTGGGTTTTGGAAGCAGCTGGGGGAGTAGTGGGGACCAGGGATGCTCATGTGTAGGTGCCTGATCCCAGCAGAAATGACAGATCCCAGAAGGGGTAGTAGAGAGTTTTGGGAGTAGTAGGGGCCAGGTATGCCCACATGTAGGCACCTGAGCCCAGCAGGGATATGGCCCCTCACAGAGTAGGGTTGAAATGTGAGTAGGCCTGAAGGGCTGTGTGTGTGTGTGAGGGGGCTGAGTAGGGCTGAAGTTGGAGTAGGCCTGAAGGACAGTCCAAGGGGCTCTAATGTTAATCTGGATGCCATCTGTGAGGCAAAGGCTGTGGTGTAGGGGAGGAATGGAGCTGTAGATAGCACCCTCTGGCATCAGGGCATGTAAATGGGCAGTCTCCTGTACCTACCATCTGTTTGTAGGAACACCAAAATCATGGCAGGAAAGACAGGGCAGATTGCCCTGTAGCGACAGGTGGGCAAGCCAACAAGATCCGGCCCCAAGAGATGCCCCCATCACATAAGGTATTTCAGCAACAATTTTGAATACATTTTTTCATCATTTGCTGACATTATTCATTTATCTGCTGGAGATGCCAGTTCAATTACTCAATCACTAATTTAGTTTTTGCATGAAAGCAAGCTGGATGTAAAACAATGCATCAGCCCTCCAACAGGCAGCTGTAATACCATGTGTGGGAGAAACAATTCCGTTCTTACAAAAATTTCGAGAGCAAAATCAAGACAGCGTGTTCATTAAGTGTGTCTGCCACTCAATCCAGCTGTGTTCATCAAATGCAGTTAGTGTCCTGCCTCAGGATGTTGATTACGTGATTTCGCAGACTTACTCGTGGTTTTCCCATGGCACTGGCCATCAGCAGAACTACTGCCACCTGTATGCAGCTATCAATGTTGACAAAACTCCACTAAAAATCCTCCAAGTTTCTGACACAAGGTGGTTGTCTATTACTGTGTGCATAAACAGAGTGATCAAGCAATATGAAGAGCTGAAATTCCACTTCCAACTTTGAAGAAAAAAAAAAAAAATACAGAACACTACAATGCTGAACTCCTCTATCAAATGTATGCCAACCCAGTGAACAAATTGTATCTCCTTTTCTTTCAGCCTGTCCTGCAGGATGCAAACAAAATAAACCAGGATGCTCGAGCTTGATAATGCAAACCCATTAAAGCTTCTCAACAACCTGCTGTCATTCTATCACAGTCTCTTCCAAAGAGTGATTTAAGTCAATGACATTGATTTAACAATGTGGTCATCTGTAGTCTACTTTGACTTCACAAACAAAAGCAACTACTTGCATCTTTCTGAAGTTGATCTTGGAGTCCAATTTCACATGGACCTAGAAAATGTCAATCTTCCATTATTGACACTGGACAACATCAAAAGCCACTGTAGGGATTACCTGTTTGAGTTCACATAACAAATAAAGCAAAGGCTGCCTGGAAACATCCAGCAACTTCAGTCTCTGTGCACTCAGCCCATCTGTTGTACTCAGCCCTAGAAACCTACCACTTGCAACTCTGTCATTTTTACCATTATACAAAGGAGATCTTGGCAAACTTGATCAGCAGTGGAAAGTACCGAGCACTGTTCAGTGGGAGAAGGCTGGCAATAGTCAAATTGAAGAGTTTTTTGGATTGAGGTGTAAAAACAAACAAAAAACACTCAGATGCTACAGGTGACAAGGACTTTAGAAAGCTGGGTTCATGTATCCTCTCACTACTGGCCTTTACCATTCAGCAACACAGCTGTAGAATGTATGTTTTCTGAAATGAATATGATGAAGACAAAACTGAGAAACAAAATGAAACACAGCATACTTGAAAACATCTGTCGCATCAGAGCATACATGCACAGAAACAAAATCTGCTGCAACCAGTTTGTCATCTAAAGAGATGTTTGCTCTGTTCAACACAGGCATATGAGAATCATCCTCTAGCAAGGATGCAGACTCAAATGAAGATTCTTAAAGTAAATAATTAACATCTTGAATGGACTTTTTCATTTGTAAATAGTTATTGAAAGATGTCACAGTCAAACTCTCCAGTTAGGCAACATCAGCTCAGATCTCAACAAAAATTGAGGCGAGGATTAGTGTTGAAATGTTGCTTGATTATTCATAGCTTGTTAGGGGCTGGAAGGGACCTTGCAGAACATTGGGTCCAGCCCCCCACACCCCCACCCCTGCTCTAGGCAGGAAGACAACTGGGGTTAGGTGACCCCAGCGAGGTAACTGCCCAGTCTCCTCTTGAAAACCACCAGGGTAGGTGACTGCACCACCTCTGGAGGGAGTTTATTCCACAGTCCGGACACCCCGACTGTGAAGGAGTTTTTCCTGGTATTAAGCCTGAAGCGGCCTTCCCGGAGTTTGTATCCATTGTTTCTCGTCTTCCCCGGGGGTGCCCTAGTGAACAGTTGTTCGCCAAGCTCCTGATGCACTCCTCTCATATAGCAGTAAGCCGCTATCAAGTCCCCTCTCAACCTTCTTTTCTTTAGGCTAAAGAGGCCCAGGTCCCTCAGCCTTAAAATTTATATTTCAATCTTATTTTAATGTGGGAAAAAATATTGTGGAAGGGCACCCATTGCCTACCAGAGGATGTTGCCATACATCGAGGCCACACTAAAGGTTAGAGCCATTTCTTCTCTCTTTATTAAGTGAGTGTTCACTCCAGGGTGGGGAACAAAGGGAGAATACACAATGCACATAATAAAAAAAAAAAAATTAAAAAAAAAAAAGCCCGTCTGCCCCACTGGACCTACCTAAACAGAAAAAGTACAACAACATACTACATAATTATGTTATGAGTGACCTTCATTACTGCCAGTGTTTAGGAACTTAAAGCAGGGGCCAGTGTCCGTAGCATTCATTGCCTAGTGTGAACATCAATGGGTTGATAAAAATTTGATTGTCTTCCATTTTAAAAAAATTGACTAGTTTTGAGGTAGTTTTGAAGTGACTTTGGGCTAAAAATTTAGCTGACACCTGGCAACCCTAGTTTGGAGCTAGGCTGCCCCCACCTCTTCCTCCCCTGGGGCCTAGCCATGCCCCTTTACCCCTTTATGTAGGGCTGGGCCACACCCATCTTCCGTCTACCCAGCCAGGTCGGGGCTGGGCCATGACCCTTCCTCCCATGGAGCCAAGTCACACTCCACCCCCCGTAGGGCTGAACTGGGGCCAGACCCAGCCTTCTTCCCCCTGCAGGGCCAGATTGGGGCCAGACACCCTGGATTTGGACTGAGGCTGCCCCTATACCTGTCCAGATGGGGCCCTGTCAGACTCAGCCTGCAGAGGGATTGGGCCAAAAAGATTGAGCTGCCTGGATCAAGGCTGTACAACTGGTGGCCCACAGGCCACATGCAGCCCCCAGATCATTAACCTGTGTCCTCCAGGCTCCTGACCTGGTGGTTTCTCCCCACAACCACTTTATCATCTGTGGCTGCTGGAGTCTGAGCTCCCACTCCCTCCCTCCTGCTTCAACTGCCCATTCCTACCCTTGGGGCATGGTCTGAGAGGCTGAGAGTCCATGGGCAGACAGCTGGGGGAAGCAGGGAGCAAAGGGGTGCCTGCCACACATCATGGCTGGAGAGAACATAGCACCGCATGCAGGGCGCAGCGGCACTGTCATGGCAAAGTGAGGTAAGTGCTCGTTGCCCAATGAAGTTAAGACGACATGGTGCAGTGTACAAGGTTCAAGGAGAAGGATGCCAGATGGGGACCTGGGAAGTTTATGCAATGTGATGCAGCATGCTAGCCCAGTACAGCAAGAGGGGGCACCTGCAGTGCAGCCAGGGGAAAGTGGTATAGGGTGCAGCCAACATGCCATGTGTCTCCTTGGGGTTTGTGACCTGCACAGTGTCAGAACTTGTACAGCCCTCTGTACAGGGGTTTAAAATTCCCCCATGCTATTAATTTTGGTCAGGAAAGAAATCCATCATCACTGAAATAGCAATGAAAATGCTGAGAAACCTTCACTCTAGTGGGAAGAGGAGGAGAGGTGAGATTTGTAACAGCAGATTTGACCAGAATACAGGGTTCATTATTTTTTTTCATGGTGGAAAGCAAGCTTTGAAATTGCAAATCTAAAATATATAACACTTCCTAGCACCCTCTGTAATGAAGACAATGGATCTCTATGCTTGCAGCAAATATTCTGAAATTGAAGGTTAATCAGAATGTGGGAATGAATAAACATTTTTGCAAAAATAAATAAATAAATAACATTTAAAATCCCTTTTGTTGCCCTTTTCCCTTGTTGGAAAGGTAAGTTACAGCCCAGATGTATATATTGAGGAATAGGTCAGCATCTGAAACAGAAAATAGCAACTAATAAAAACTTGATCAGGAAGCACCAGAACCTTCCCAATGCAGCCCTTCAGCATTCCTCCCAGCAATGGCAATGCTCCCTTTGCAGTGGAGTCTATCCCAGGGCTTTTGCAACATGCACCACAGGATGCATTCCCTCTGCACTTCCTCGAGCAGAAGAGCCGTTACCAAGGAACTGCATTGTCATCTCACCAGTAACTGCAGAAATTGATGCAACTAGCACAAAGGCATTATCCTCTCCTACTCCCACTCATTTTTCTGAAATAGCATCCCAAATACATTATTTGTAAACCTTCCTGTCAAAGGGCTCTTGAGCAAATGCCCAGAGCAGTAAGAGGATGAGTTTGTATACAGATCTCTCAAAGCAGCTTGCATTTGTTCAGTACAAAATGGTGTTACCTGTAATTACAGCTGAAGAATCATCCCTTTTCAAATGCTTATTTATGCCTGGATTATCTGAGACAGGGGTTCCTAGGACTGGCACTGCTGGTCTTGCTGAATCCGCCCTCCCTGTACAAGAAGCCTGGATTCTGGCTGGGGAATGTAGTGATGTCATCATGCCCTCCCTTCTTCCTAGCCTACTGGGAATCTGCAGAAAGAGTCAGCTTTTCTCTGTACCTCAGCTTTTGTTATTTAAAGTGACAGGCAGCACGAACAAGCTGCTAGCATTACAGAACAATAATATAAACCAAGCTTCAAAAGACCCCAGAAAGGATTAGTGACCAAGTAAGACCTTTTTTATTTTTTTTTATTTTATTTATTTATTTATTTTTATTAGCTGCCACTTTTATTATGAGACCTTAAGTTATACCATAGGCTTCTGAGGTGCCAAAGTTGTCTTTTTTTGTATATTTGATAAATCTGCATAAAGAAATCAGTCATTCACTGCATTAACAACATGAGATTTTTCCATAAAAGTGCAGTTTTGAAGTTATTCTTCATTTAGATTTACCCATTTTGCTGGTCAGCTGGATTGTAAACATTATGACAAATTTACTTTGACTATTTTAACTCTCATACGTTTGACACCTTTGCTATATGACCTGCAGGTTGGAGCTGTCAGCTGCAGGACAGAATGTCTCTGTAAGCCAAGTTGTGGCTTGGCTACCCCTGCCTTAACAGCATTCTGTACCCTTTCAATGCAAAAGGGAGTTAGGCAGAGAGGAGGAACATGTCTTTACTTTTAATATAACTAACTCTGTTTATTGCAGAAGAAACATAGCCAAGAAAACAGCGAATCCCAAGAAAGGAGTTAACTGTGCGTTCATTTGTAACCCTTCTGCCAGGCACCAGATGACTCTAACAAAGGCCAAGTTCAGTTTAGAGATTTTCCACAAATTGATTGTCTTGGCTCTAACCCGGGGGGGGCAATTATTTCGGAAGGAGGGCTGCTTACCCCGTTTTGGCAGGCTGTTGAGGCCCGCATGGGTAGCCCCGCCCCTTGACAGGTGCCCCACCCCCTGATCACCATCTTGGGAATAATGTCCCAGGGCCAGCACCAGTGGGGCACAAAGCGGGGCGCAGGCTGGCAGCAGTCCGTGGAGCTGGGCTGGGCTGCACCAGCAGGGAGAAGGGGGAGCTGGCCTAGCTCCGTAGAGCCCCTGCCAGCTGGGACCCCATGCTCCTGCCACCCTGCTCTGGGCCACACCAGCACTGACCCTGGGGCACCGGTGTGGGCCCTGTTCTTCCACTGGATCCCTGCCCACTCACACCCAGTGCCCCCCAGCCCTGTGGTACAGGCAGGGGGCAGTGCACAGCCCCAACCCTCCGCTTGCTGGCAAGGAAGAAGCTGGTGCTGAGCACAGGGAAAAGCGGCCCCTCACCCACCCCAAGGCCAGCGCTCCCTGCTGCAAGTGCTCACAGCCCATGCGGGGCTGTCTGGAGCAGGCACAGGCAATCCCAGGCAGGCTGTGAGTGGCTGCAGCGCGGGACACTGGCCACACAGTGAGCGAGGAGCCACTCTTCCCCATGTGCAGCACCAGCTTGTAATCCACCCTGCTGCCAGCCTGGCAGCGGGGCTGGGTTACAAGGTGGTGCTGAATGTGGGGTGGGGGGAAAGCAGCCCGTCACCTGCCCCATGCCTGGTGCCCCATGCTGCAGCCACTCACAGCCCATCTGGGGCTGCCTGTGCCTGCCCCGAACAGTCCTGCATGGGCTGCGAGTGCCTGCAGCAGGGAGTGCCAGCCATGGGGGAGGCAAGGGGTCGCTTTTCTCCACGCAGGGAAGGAGCCCAGGGAAAAGCTGAGCACGGGGGGGGAAAAAGCAGACCCTACTGTGCTCCATGGCCGGTGCTCCCTGCTGCAGCTGCTCACAGGCCACACAGGGCTGTCTGGAGCAGGCACAGGCTGCGAACAGCTGCAGCACGGGGCAGGGAAGGGGCCGCTTCCCCCCCACCCATGCTCCTTCCCTGCCCGGGGTCCCCCCCACTTACCTGCAGTTCCGGCATGGGGCAGCCACATGCTCCCAGGCCAGAAGCCCCACTTGGGGCTTCCAGCTGGGGGGGTGGGGCCAGGTGGGCCCCACTGTTGTTGGAGCCTGACAGGCTTCCCCTGGATCCTACTGCCCTTGGTTCCTGTCATTTTTTTACAGGAACCAAGGGCAGAGAAATATTAACTTTTTATATTTTTAGGGGCCCCGCGGGCTGGATCTGGCCCGTGGGCCATATTTTGCCCACCCCTGCCCTAACCCCTCACCATTGTCCCAGCCCCCGCACCTGGAAAAATAATTTCTGCCTGGGTGTTCCAATGTGAACAAACATTCCCACTTGCAAACAACATTAAACTATAGCAGGGTTTGCCAATGCAGGGGAAGGGAAATGGGACACAAACATATTTAGGAAACCCCAAATAATCAGTAGACCACCGTAATCCACTATTAACAGTTTTGAACACTCAGTATGTTCAGTGTTCTTTCTTAGTCCCACACAGTATGAACAGTGTAGTTAGGAGAGTCAGTGTAGCTCCTAGCACAAGGGTTTCTTTGCCTTGCCACCACTGGGGGGGACACTGCTTCTCAGTTGCTGTCATCAGTTAGCAAATATTGCTCCTTAGTTGCTGTCATTGCTTTCTGCAGCCAGTGGGAAGTCCTGCTCTGCTGCTGCTCATCTCTTCTAAGGGGCACAGCTTTACTGCTACTCACCACCGCTGGAAAAGTGCTTCCCTTTTTGTAGCTGCAAAAGCAACCTAACTATTTGAGACCTTGGCAAGAATCTCAAGAATCTTCACTCTTTCAGAAGTTATAGGCCTCTTCCTGATCTATTAGTACCATAAGGATTTCATCTCTTTAGAACCAAATGGGTAATAGGCAGTGGCGTACCGTGGGTCTCTGGTGCCCAGGGGCCAATGCTTGCATTGACGCGCCACCCTAGAGATGATCTAAGCAGGGTGCAGGGCCTGAGGCAAATCAGCCTGTGTGGGGCCCCACCTCCTGCCCCACAGCACATCTGTGGGGGAATTAGCAGTAGAGCACATCAGTCATGGGGGGAGGGGTGGCAGCTGGAATTTCTGTCCAGAGCAGCCAAAGAAAGCCACAACCTGCCAGGCGGGCAGGTTGGGCGACACACAAAATGCAGGAAGCGCCCTGGTCTCTTCAGCTGGCACCCCACCCCCTTGTCTCTCCAGAGGCCCCCTCCCGCCCCCCACCCTTCCCCATCAGTATGCCACTGGTAATAGGTTCAGACTAGACTCATTAAAAGGTATTTGTACATCACTAATACTTATCCTTTAATGGCCGGATGGTGAGATGCAATACCACTCTCTTAGGACAGCTATCCCCTGGAAACCTCCTTTTGCAATTCCTGAGATGAGAGTCCCTTTACCTTACATTTCCACACAAATTTTGGTGAGCACTGATCCCCTCAACAATATTTACCCAACTTTTTTGCAGTAGTGGTACTCAACCATTTTGCCTGGTGGGCCAGATAGACAGTTTCTGGTTTGTCCATGGGCCAGATCCAGCTGGTGGGCCCAATTCAGCATGTGAGGCAGGCATAGCAGAATCCAATCAAGCAGCAAGGAGTGGGAAAGGCATGTGGCCCAGCCCTAATTCAGCCAGGGTGGCAGGGATAGCGGGCATGGTCTGGCCCCAACCTAGCCATGCAGAGCTTGGTAATTTGGCAGTAGGGAAGCGGGGGAGGGGGAGGAGTGGCAGTATTAATCACTTCTGCTTCCCCACTCCCAAACCACGGGGAACCCCTTAGGCTGGATACCATGGTTCGGTGCTCTGGATTTAGCCCATAGGCTTGAGGTTGAGCACCCCTGTCTTACAGCATTGGCGCTCTTATGAATTTTAAGTTTTAGAAGGAAGGGCCAGTGCACACAAGCATGACTTCCCTGGTCTCTTGTATTCAAACTGTAAAAAGCAGTTAAAATGTGTAATCGCAGACAAAACAAGCACAGGAAAGTTTTCCACTTCCTCACCCATGCATATCCATAGGAGATATGCAGAAAAGGGATGCAATGCCCCCTTATCTGACCTTGCACCACAGAGAGGTTGTAACACAGGTACCATTGCAACTGTCACACATTCAACAAAATTCAAGAAGATTTTTATGGAAATGGAAGAACACTTCAATTAAAAAATTGCTACCGTCAACTTTGAGCCATTAGCTGAATCCGTAAGGCAAACATCCAGTAGCAAAACCAGTTGCATTTATAAATTATATAACTCCAAGTCATACTCAAATGAAAAACTAAATCATATCTCTGATGAAACAAACCAAACAGAAATTCCACAAATAACTTACAGATTTTTTTTCCTCAAAAACAAAACCGACCAGAGCAAAACACATCTAAATTCCGATTAACCCCATAATACAGTTATACTATTTATAAGCCTCATCCATCACCCAACTCATTTAGGGGTGTGTGAAGTGAGCCCTATTCAATTTGGATTCAGATTTGGGCCAAATCGGGGGCAGTGATTCGATTCTTTGTCCCTGATTCAATTTGGCCAAATCCAAATCTGAAGATTCGATGGCGATTTGGAGAATCAGCGATTCAGACATGGACATAGCTTTAAAAGTTTTTTCTACAAACCTTGAGGTAGCAGGAACATCTCATGATCAATGCTATGCTGGGGCACATGGAGGGTCCCACAGAAGTGCGGGCGGACCCACCATGTTCTCGGCGGCGAACCCAGAAGTGCCCGGGAAGTACTTCCGGTGCACTTCTGGGTCTGCTGGGGAGGACACTGGGGGCCCCCCCATGCCCTCCTGGTTTGGCGATCAGCTGCAGGGGGACCCCGGGTGCCCCCCCAGACCCAGGATGCACCAGTCACTGAGCCAAGGGGGCACGGGGTGGGGATGGGCAGCACACTCCATAGCGGACTTGAAAGTGGACCAGAAGTGCTTCTGATTCACTTCTGGGTTTGCTGCTGAGCGCACTGGGCAGCTCCCCCCCGCTTCTGTGGGACACTCCACGTGCCCCAGCATCACAGCATTCATGAGCCCCTGCTACCCAGAGGTATGTATAAAAAACATTTAAAGCTGTCTCTATGTCTGAATCGTTCCACATCTCTCTGAATCGATTTGGAGAGATTAAAGGGTCCTCCGATTCGATT